GTTTAGTTTTCTGCTTAGTGTAAGTTCATTTTCCGAAACATTTCGGGAAGCCAAAAGAGTTTCTGGTCACAACACTGGTGTCTTGCAATACATTTTTATCCCTCCTCCATTAAATTTGTTTTATTTAATTAGTCAGATAGGCACAGCACCAGCTTGATGAGAACTTTTGAAAAAAGTGGCTAAATTATTAACCCATTGTAATAAGCAATTGCCAAAGTTCTCATTGACAATTTCACATGCAATCAAGTTGATAGCATGTGCTATACAATGAACATTCTCTATATTTGGATATTTCTTTTGAATAATTGCATGTGCATTTTGAACATTTGAGGCATTGTCTGAAACTATGGCTGATATTCAATTCACTCAATACTTTCAATAATTTCTCCAATTACCACAGCTAAGTATTCTGCAATATGAGAAACTTCTGACAAGTCAAGAAGTTGATAAAGATATTCTTTTCATGAGGGAGTCATAACAACAAAATTCCAAATTGAATGATGTGTACCAGAGGTCCAGCCATCAAAGGCTAAATCATATCAACATTAATATAATTAAAAATCTACAACAGTTTGATTTTAAAAAAAATCATATTAATTTTTTACAAACCTAATGTTAGATTGGTTTCCTTCTCAATTTCAGATTTAACCTTGGAGTTTACTTGAGATAACTCACATTCAAGTAATTGACCTGATAAAATCTCTCTTGATGGTGGTTCATACCCACCATTGAGCTCTTTCACAAAATTAATAAAAAAAAGATGTTCCACTATTTGAAATGATATACCACATGTAATAAAAAATTTAGCTAGAGCACAGTTAATACTGGTAATTCTGGCATTTGGAAGTTCTATAGAATCATGATAACTTGTAATTATGGTTTGTTGGCTATTTTCAACTTTCTTTCTCTTAATTGGTGCTTTATCCTTACGTTCTAACACTTTGGACAGATATTTTTTACAATTGTTGCAGGGGCTTTTGAACAATGGTTGGCAAGATGTTCCTCAAGATTCGCAACTTCGCCACATGTCCATTTACTTGTACAGTATTTACAAAAGGCATTAAATTTTCCAAAGCCAACAGAATCTCCTTTATTAACATCTTCCCAAATAGAATTAATTGGCCTTCTGTGTTTTGTTTTTTTTTTCTTTTTCTTGGCTAGGAACAGGCGAGTCTTCCAGATTTAAAGAGTCATTTAAAAAGTCGGAATTAAGAGGAGTGTTCATATTAATATTGAAATTTGCATAAGAATTTAAAACAACATGATGGTGTTTGAAGAAAAAAAATAAATGGGAATTAATTATCTATAACACATTTTTGTTAAACCTTAATTAGGTTTGATTTTATTATATAGATTTTGAAGATTCAACACATTGAAATTAATATGAAAAAATTCATAAATTAAAGATTGACAAAGTTGAAGAAAGTGTCACCAATGAATTTTGGGAGAGTGTATTTTAATTGATGATAACAAATTTTTAATAGTTTATGTGGATCAGAATGAATAGGCTAATACTAACGAATTAGAT